ACTGTTATTTCAGGACCAAGCAATAAGCTTCTCTTCCCTTGATATACTTTTCTTTTTAAGATACAGACAAAGGATATTTTCCTACAAATGTGTTTAATGACCCAATCCTGCTATAAGGAATATCGATGCTTTTATTTTCTTGTTATCATAGTATTTTAACAAAACAAACAAACAAACAAAACCTTGCTTTATTCAACTTTTTAGAAGTTGGAAAAGGGGAACCTGGTCAAACAACCCCCAAACTGCCTAAATGCATAATGTAATACAAGAGCACAAACTAGTATTTCAAGTTAAGGGACCCAGCAGTGCAGCCCAACTCTTTCTGGCCATCATCACTTTTTCTTCTGAGTCAGAGAGTGCCACGAATGGAATATTCCTGCCAGGGTACCACCCTGGCCCAGCCTCTCTGCTGCAGCATGGTGTGTCACTCATGTTGAAGCCTGCCAATAAGTCAGGGGAAGTCATATACAGTGTTAAGAGCTCAACTAACCTCATCAGGATTCTAACGTCAAGGATTATGTTTTTTTCCTTTTGTACCAGTTGCCCAAATGCCTTTGGACAAGGTTTCTGGCACAGACATGTTCAGGAAATAGGGCGGGAGGAACACCTATTTAAGTGAAAAAACACTCTGGCAAGAAAGTTACGCAATAACAGAAAACAAATGGTTGGCCAGTGGTGAAGTTAGAGCTCCACATCCCTTGCACTTGATTTGGTCATAGAGGAACAATAATGAATTTTCAAGGTGTAACAGCGTTAATGAATCTAGGCTGCGTAACTTAATAGGCTTAAAACGAAGCAAGCTGATGGTAGACTTGAGGGCCGGCTACTTATTTTCTGTTTCCAGTTACAAGTGAAAGAAGTTAATGGACAGCAGATTTACAGTGGAACAACAACTGTGCTGCTCATTTTCACCCCAGAAGAAAACAGCGCTGAAGCTCAGTCCCCCGCAGAACTTTTTCAAAGACTGAGTCGGCTGCACACTTTACCTATGTGGGTTCTCCGTATCAGCAAGCATCACTGCACTTGCCCTGGGGAATGCTTCCCTGGTTGCTTACATATTGAAATGATAAAATCTAAAACTTTATGGAATCATTGTAAAAGGAAAAGCAGATCTAGACAATTCTGCCACTCAATCCTTCGAGTGAGCAATGAGTGAGATGAAGGTACATTTTGATGATACCTTAAACATTTGCAGTGAAGGGTACTGGAGGAAGTGGTATAGGTTTTGTTCAGTGGTATAGCCATAGATAATGTTCCATTTTTTCAGTAAATACCCACCCCCTCCCATACATTCATGCAGCTACCATAACTAAACTCAGTGTGTCGCATATACAAAAACATATGAAAGTGGGCAGGGAGGACTTGGTGGATTCAACGGTTTCAGCAGGAGTTGGAGGGGAATGAGAGGAAAAATAGGGGGTGAAAGTGATCAGAATTCATTATTTACATGTACAAAATTTTCAGAGAATTTTTTTAAATAAAAAAATAGCATGAAGCAAAAAAAGTATTTGATAGCTCAGCATGGATTTTTCTTTAAAAAACATCGTTTTTAATTTTTCTTAGATTTTTTTTATTTTGGAACAAACTTTAAATTATTTATTATTGAGCGCAAGTTGCAACACCTTCCGAGTGGGAGCACTTCCTTACCCTGTGGCATTAGGCTTTGCTGTGTGAACCCTCCTACTTCCAAAATCTTGGTGACACTTGCTATTTTTGCTTTCAAAAAAATCCATTTGACAGCTATCTGGTTTGAAAAGCAAATTCATGCCAATGTTATAATGGTTTGGTATCTTAATCTACACCCATCTCGTAGGCAAATCTTCTGGATAATTCCATAATTTCCAGCAAATATGACCAAGTAATTTAAGAAAAAGTAAGAGTCGATGGAGATTTTTTTTGAGGTTAAAGCACTAAAGTTCCGCTTCTGATGGCCATCACACTGCAATTTTTTCCTTCAGGGCCCGTCACACACAGGGGCTGCCTAGCTTTCCACTGTTAAACTAGTGACAGTTCTTCTGCCATGGGGAAGAAGACTGTTTAGTAGCTCGTGAGCACTTAACGCAATCAAAGTGTTTCACTGGCTGCTTGTACATTGCCTCATTTAATCCATCAGTCTTCAGGGAGAGGAATTATTCCCATCATTAGAAAACTATGGTGGCACACACCTTTAACCCCAGTACTCAGGAGGCAGAGGCAGGCAGACCTTTGTGAGTTCAAGGCCAGCCTGGTGTGCATAGTGAGTTCTGGGACAACCAGGGCTGTTACACAGAGAAACCCTATCTGAAAAAAAAAAAAAAGAAAGGAAGAGAAAAAGAAAACCTAGGCTATTTTTCAGTGTCATATAGCTATGGTACTGTGATTCCAGAGCTTGAGTTTAGGAACTCAATTGCTCCAGAACTTTAGTAATTTTATACTAAATATATTATACTAAATATTTATTTAATATAAATTTATTTATTTTAAATTTATATCCTAAATAAATTTATTTAGTTTAAAAGTAAATGAATATATATTTATACTATGAATATATATATTTATACTAAATGACACTAGTGGATTAGACTAAGTCCAACATAAACTTTAGGGTAAAATCTGTGTGTTTGTTTTTTAAGACAATGCACCAGTAGTATCAACTGTCTTAGTTACTTTTTCTATTGTTGTGATAGGAACCCATGACCAAAGCAACTTACAGAAGAAAGGGTTTGGTTGGGGGTTTGCAGTTTCAGAGGGTGAGAGCCCACGACAGTCATTATGGGGAGCAGGGCAGTAGGCAGGCAGGCAAGATGCTAGAGCAGTAACTGAAAGTTTTCAACTTGATCCACAATCACAATGCAGAGAAAACTAACTGGGAAGGGCATGGGAGGAGCTTTTGAAACCTCAAAACCCACTACCAGTGACACACTTCATCCAACAAGGTGACACCTTCCAATCCTTCCCAAACAGTTCCACTGACTGGGGACCAAGTATTCAAACGTATGAGTCTATGGAGGCCATTCTTTTTCAAACCACTAAACCACCTATCTGGCCTCATTCCAAAGACTCAGCTTTACAAATTCTTCATCACTTTGGTCCTCAGCTTCTTACTCATTCATTTCTAAACACCAGAAGGGATCTGATCAGACCAGGTCTTGTTTAAAATAGCTAAGTATAGAGTTGGACATTTCCTGCCCAGGCTTCTCATAGAATTATTTTCTTGTAAGACCTGGCATTTCTTTTTGCTAAACTCCAGTTCACTCAATGGCCTGTCTTCTTACTAGTCAGAATAAACAAAGGAAAGTAGTGGATGTGTTTGACAGCAATTTGTATTTAAGTTTATGGTAGTCCAGAAAATGAGAATGGATTCCAATGCAATTCTCCAGCAATAGTTACTTTCCAATCTCCACATTGATTTGGTGGGAAGATCAATTAAAAATAAAAGTCATACCATACATAGCAATTCTACTGGTAGTGATCTTATCACTGCTAAGTTTTTAACTCCTTGAGGAGATACAAATATTTAAATTGGAAGGACAAGTCAGCACTCAGCAAAGAGAGAAAAAGCTCTCACTACTTACAACCTTGATCATATTACAACAATATCTTAACATTACGTTATAATAAGATGTTTACAATTTTTGTTGTGTCTAGTAAAATGCATTGTCATACACATGTGTCTGTATTTACATGCATGTGTATATACATAAACACATATATGCATATATACATACACAGACAGATCATATTTTGAAAACAAATGTTTGGGGGAAATACTATTGGGAAATTATTTATTATGAGTTTTAAGTGCCCAAGCATTAATCAATACTTATTGATTACTTTGTGAAGTCCATTGGATCATACAGAGAGGCAGAAGACACAACAGACTGAACAGGAGACATGGATGTACACCAGCAAGGCATTCTTTGGAAAGATTTTGAATGCAGGCAAGGAAGCCCAAGTAATGTCTAGTGGGAACGAACTCTGATCCCACACTGTACTATTTTTCTAGATATTTTGGTAATTCTGAAATTGGTACTGAGAGAAGACATGAACACCAAAACCAGTAAGAATGTGATATTTAATGTTTGCTACATCATCACTTGAAATGTATGTGGGAAAGGGAATTCCTTGCCAATGGTCTAATGGGTCACGGTAATGATGTTAGATAGCCTTCAGCCTTTGAATTCTGCTGTTTTTGAGAGAGGGTCTCACTCTGGGGTCCAGGCTGCCTCTTGAATCTGCAGTCCTCCTGCCTCGGGTTTTTGAGCGGTGGGATAACAGGCATGTGCCTCCATACCTGACTAGCTCACCCTATTCTTTATCATTAAACTTCCTTGACATTAGTCCTTCCCCCGTGGAGCTGCCGTATTTCTCTATTTGGCATTTACCCGGTGATGCCTGTGGGCTTCTCCAGGCCCCTCCAGCTGTGTGCGCCCCCCAACCCCTGTGCTAGCTGCTTGGTCGTCTAGACAGAGGGCCCTCCTTCGGGTGGCACGTCTGCTTGGTCCTCTTCTTGCTAGACAGAGATGTTCCAGTATTTGCTGACTTGGACTGATTTCTGCAAAGGCCTCTAACCACAAACCCACCCCATCCATTCCTTTCTCTTCTTTGAAATTCTCAAAAGTGTGAAGGCACTTGAAAACGGCATGTATTTGTTGAAGCTAATACGAATCTTGAGTGACCAGCCAAGAGAAGCCAACGAACTCCGGGCCACCTCTCCTAGACAGAAGTAACATGAACGGATTTACTATGCATTCATATAAGAAGGAAACAAAACAAAAACAAAAACTATAACAGTACCTTGAGTTCTCTATTAGAGTCAGTCCCCAGTGTTCAAACATCCTAATTTAGCTTAGACAAAATAGCCCACATTCCATTTCCTCCCCACCTCTGTTTCCCTAACCCTTCCTTGCCCACCCAGTCTAGTTTCTCCTTTTTCCTTTTGCCACAGTCTTATTCTTCCTCCTCCTCACCCCCCCGTCCCCCCCCGCCAAAAAAATAAAACCTTATCTACAACTTCCTTTAATCAGGAACCTTCTTAAAAGAGTCAAGCTCTCCTCAACTGAAAGCAAAGCCCTCTGCGAAGCTTGTCTGTGGTGAGGACGCCCTGGGGGATGAGAAGGCTCCAAAGCCAAGTCCAGGCGTCCTCTGGCAAGAAAGAGGTTTATCCGACACGCTGACTTCCTTGCGAGTCTGATCCCTTCTGCGCAGCTGGACACAGGAAAGCAGCCTCCCTTCGTGGAGTAAAAGCCCGGGCACTTTCAAAGTGCCCTTCCTACCCAGATCCGGGAGAAGTCCGGGCACGAAGGCGGGGCCATTAGGGTGGCTGGCGACACCCTCCTGAAAGTCCAGCCCCGCCTTCCCACCACCTTAGGGATTTGGTACATGAAGCAAGATCGCCCTCTCAGTGAAAGGCAGATGTCCCTTTAAGGTTTGCTTTGCCGTTGCCTGTGTGGACTTTAGCCTAAACACGGTCCCGCGAAGTTGGCTTTATTTGTCCATGTCTCGGATCGAGGCTGGGACGCTGCCAGGGAGATTTCAGAGACCCAGCGCTCGAAGGGGCGGGAGATGTGGCAATCGGTCTGGGATGTGAAAAGCGTGGAGCGAGCTTAGAGGCAAAACACAGGAAATCACTCCTCCACGGCTCTTGGGCGCTGCAGCCGCTGGGGCCACTGCTGGACACCCGCGGAGACCGCCCGAGTGACCCACAGCGCAAGGCACCGGCGTGCCCAGCTCCTGCCAGCTCCTGCCAGCTCCTGCCCAGGAACCCGCACGTCAAGGGAGCTTGCAGCCACTCCAGCCATGGTCCCCAGGCGCCCTGCCAGCCTAGAGGTCACTGTAGCCTGCTGCTGGCTCCTCACTGGTGAGCGACCCTGCTTTGCTGATCATCTCTGGTGGGGCTTGGTGGGGACTCTGGTGAGGGGTGACATACACAGAAGAGGGTCAGACCGGAGAGACCTTCAGGTAGACCAGCCAGGTCAGAGGACTGAAGGGAGCGCCTGCGGCCAGCCCAGAAGTGAGGGAGGCAGTGCCTAGAACTTTCCAACTACAAGAGGCTTTTCAAATTTAAGTTGTTTTTACGATGTAAGCTGTGTTTTAGGTATTTGAATTTTTGAAAAGGAAAGTAACCGTGGATGCCTGATTAGTGTGCAAAGTTCCTGCCTTAGGGTTGCTCAGAAGTGGACTTTATAGCATTTTCTTCCTGTTTAATATTCAGGACCTTTTCTGCTACAGAACAAGGAAAGACAGGCATGCCAGGCAAAACCTGTCTCAATGTGACATTTCTACATTAGCTCGGAACGTTTAGTATACAAAGATCACAATGCAGTCTTTCAAATATAAAATGTAGTTTTCAGAAGACTTAGTACCCTAGAAATGCAGTGTTATACCCAGCTGCCAGAAACTGGGAGCATTTTGGATTTTCCAAATGGAAGCGGTAGCTAGGGTCACAGCCTTTGCAGTAGTTACCAGTTGGGGAGGTGAAACTTAGCTGGTGGGGGAGTGAAATGGTAGAAGCATTAAGCAACTTATTATCACCTCATCAGTCCTTTAATTAGTGGTTGTCTTTAATATGCCATGATATCCTATGTCTGATGTTTCTACTGTTGGTATGATTAACTAGTTAATTTCACGGTTGACTATTAACAGTTAACCCAGCAGTGGATGGCTAAACACTGAGAACCCTTAAGTTTACTTAAGAATGGATTATCGGCAAGCCCATTTTTTCTCGTAGCGAAGTGGGTGTGGGGAGTTAATAATGAGCTAATCTTTTCTCCTACTGAAGTGGTGTGGGGAGTGAATAATGAGCTATGGGCTTTCTCGTCCACACATTTCTCACTCCTCAGGAAATGTCCAATAATCCGAACAGTGGTAACTTCGGAACAGCAATCCAGGCCAGGGAGTGGTTTAACCTACTACTCATTGCCCCGACCCTTGATGGAACCCATGACCTGTGTGTGGTTCCTTTGCAACCTGAACCTTCAGAGATGTATCTTGTTGTTTTGCCAAATTTGAATTATTTACTAATTACTCAAGCTATATCTTTTCTTTTCTTTTTCACATTTTACCCAACATTAAGTCAGTGCAGAAATGAGGGCTGTGTATTCTCGAAAAGAATGACAGTTTTCCAAAGAGGGGCGGGAATGATGGAGGAACAATTTCAAGTATACATTGGTGCAGCTTGCCTTGCTGAATCCAAGATGAGAATTAGAGGAGAAAAATCAGTAGATGTTTCTAAAGTAAGTTCAGATTTTTTTTTTTTGTATACTATTCAGAGCATTATTGACCCAGGGAGGGCAGGTTTCTTATGCGTAGTGTATTTATGTCCATTTCACAAGATGGCATTAAGGATCTCAGGTCTGACTTTTCTCTTAACAATTGCTCATACTTGGAAACCTCTCACCAATTCATGGAACCCGTAGTTATTCTGGAGTCTTAGACATACTTGTGAATGATGTTAGAGAGCTTATGTTGTTTTCCAACCTTTAACCCTTTGTATATATTTAAGTAGATCATCTGTGGTAGTTCATGGTTGCCTCTCAGATAAAATCCAAAATTCTCAACAAACTGCCCAAATCCAGGACCCTGCGTCCGTTTCCTATCACTGCTGTAACAAGTTGCTATGGATTTATTGGCTTAAAAGGAGATATTTACTATTTCACGGTTCTGTAGGTTTTAAGTCACACTGTGATAAAATCAAGGTCCCCCCAGAGCATTTCCTGTGGAGGCCCTAGAGGAAAATGGGCTTCCTTGCTGCTTTCCACTTTATGTGGCCACCTGCACGTCTTCAGAACTAGGAGTGCAGATTTTCAGTCTTCCTCTCCGAATCTGCTTCATGGTCACATCTTCTCCAAATCTACCTGCCCAGGGTCCCTGCATGTATTGGGTATGTCTCTCCAGATCTCTGTTCAATTACATCTGCCAAATCCGTTTTCTTATCTAAGGTAACATACTCAGCATTCATGGACTAGAGCAAGGGCATCTTAGATGGGCCACTATTATTCTGCCTATCACAACCCTTAAACAGGGCTCCCATCTCATCCAGTCACATTTCCTTACTTTGCTCATAATCCTCTTGCTGTTCTTGCCCCTGTGGATACAATCTTGTCGTTTGATTCATCTACAAAAGAACCCCACCCTTCCTTCCCACTACCCCTTGCCTTCTAAACAAACTCTCACCGGCTTTCAAAGCTATGCATAGAGCACAACAAACTACTACCATTCCAATAATCTTCCCAAGGATTTACAACTTCTTGTGTTAGTTTCTTCCAACGTACATTAAACAATTTGCCAAGAAAAAAATTCTCATTTACATCCAAATAAAGTCCTTTTCATTGTTTTATACATGTCAGAGTCCTAGTGTAATATATGGCAAAAACAGAGGATTTAACTGAAGGGAGTCTCATAAGCAGACAGCCTGGAGGAGGCCTTAAGGGAGCCAATAAAGGTAGAGCACCTGGGATAAGACGAGGTAGATAGACATCACAGGAAGCAGCAGAGGGGAAAGAAGGCTGGAAGAACCTGGATCCTGGAAGGAGGCTGCTGTATCAGATCAGTGGTGACAAGTAGACTGCAACTGGACCAAAAATGAAGTTCAGCCAAGAAGTAATAGAGGAAATAGAGACCTTCGCCCTCTCCCTATAATATCTTGCCCATTGCTATCATTGAAAATATTCAAATGGTTAGATCCAGCCTTCCAGATAGATGATGATTATAGTAAGTAGCACAGACTAGCACTGGAACTTACTACATGAAAGGCCCTGGGCCAAGAACTTTGTAATGTTTTATCCTCATCTAAAAAAGTTAAGGTTTACATGAACATCTCTTAGATTTTGAAGATGGAACCCAACAAAAAAGTACTGAGATTAATTGCACTTGGCCAGAGTCTCACAGCTGATAAGTGACAAATTACATCAATTCGCACCTCTGACCTCAAGTTTCCGGCTGTGAAAAGAGCCTAAATACAAGTTCATATTCCTCTTGTTCTCAATTAAGTGAGTAAAACGCAAACACAAATGCCTAAAATACTTTGGTAAAGAGCTATCTAGTTAATGAAGAAAGTGTCATTTCCATGATTTTTAGATGTACAATGAAATTAGATGATAGCACACTCTACCTTAAATAGAATCTAAACAAGATTACTTCTACCTAAACTGGGGGGAAATTTGTCTTACTCATTATGATGTCTATAAATATAATAATGAATCCACTGGGACATGTTCATTTGTTTAGTTACAAGGCAATGAGAATAACACACACACATATATATCAGCTTGTTTTGTTCTAGGTGGTCTTGATGCTAATATTGATGGTCAATATTAAGTAAAACCTAACTCTCGACTGTCTCTGAGGGCTACATTTTCATGAGATGATTAGATCATGTAGGTTCTCACTTGATGGTTTAGTCAACTGATGGATGTAAAATTTGAACAAATTACTGAGAGGTGGTGGGACTTGCTGTGTGGTTGCAGGAAGGAGGTCCCTGGAGAGGTGTCCTTGGGGACTGTAGCTTGCCCCCAGTGTCACTGTTTTATATCCACCACGATGGGAACTGCTGTTCTACTGTGGCCTGCTGGCTGTGGCCTGATACCTTTGTGACCCTGAGCCAAGATAAACAATTCCTTCAGTTGTCTCTGTTAGGTGTTTAGTCACAGTAAACAGGAAAGCAACTAATGCAGTAAATCTAGCTATGTAATGCCTGAGCTCTGGAGCCAGGTCTGATCGCTGCTGATGTTTTACCTCTGTAGACAGATGCTCCTCTGCCTTCCTTCCTCTGCCCGCAACCCCTAAAACTGCCCATTGAGATTAATAACTGGCCGAATTGTCTTGTACCCCATAAAACATTTTAATAGAATAAATTGGTTGTTTGAGACATTTTTCTGAGAGTTAGTATCCAAGCACTAGTCTTCATAACTGCTCTTCTGACACAAGAAACACAAAATTGTGTATTTGAGTGCGTGTTAAGCAACTGGGATGAAAGACATTTTGGAATCATTGCCACAGTGCTAAAATCAGAATAGATTGCCTATTCAGGGCTGTCTGTGACTGGAGAATTGTATTCATTCTCAAAATGAGTACAGCAAAGTATCAAGAGATGCAAATGAGATGGATATATTCCTTTCCTCGACATTTCTGAACTTCTTTCAGACTTCTTTCGTGTGCCAACCCTTCTGAAGTTGCCTCTGGGCCTTTATGGAAGCAGTTACTCCCTCTGCTATGGACCATTAATTCCCACACAAATGTGATTCCCAAGCTACTCAAGGAGTTGGACTATCCCTCCTTCCTCAGACACAAGTGTGTCCCAGCACCTTGTTTCTATAAAAACACTCCACCATACGACATGATAAGGAAATATGTAGCTGTCTGTCTTCCAGCTTATTGTATGCTCTGTGAGTGCTGTGTGTCTTTTCTATTAACCTTAGTGCCTAAGAATAATTGACACTTTTACTCAATAAATCATAAAATAACAGACTATAGACAAACTTATAAACTACTTAAACGATGAGCCTGTCCCTTTAAGTATATTCTTGTCTATATGTAACCAGATTTCTATTTGACTGAGTGGATAATACCACTGTTAGGTCTCAAACTTGGGACAAATGGCTAACTGAGGTGCCTATTTAACATATCAGAGGAGACCTGGCCTCCAGATTCTCCCAGCATCTCTCAATTCCTTACCTGTTACAGGGTATGTCTGGCATATGCCGAAGTCTACCCTCAACTTCTCCAGCCCAGGGGCTGGGCTGCCTTCTCCTAGCTCCCCTTCCCTATACAATCCAGCCATTCTGGCTACCTGGCCCTTCTGTCTACCCTTTACCCTCCTGGCCTCTTGGTATCCTGGCTGTCCCTCCTCCTCTCCTCACA